TCGTCATGTTTGGTACCACCATAGGCCTTGTGACTTGAGGGGTTGTGTTTTGTCACCGACCTTTCATTTTTTGGTTTTTAGTCTGTTATGATATACTTTTATTTTTGTTAAAATATGTTCCAAATGCTACAAGAGCTTCTCATGCGGAAGATGACAGCATGTTTCAAAAAGTGGCAAACGATGATTGGACCATTTCTGCCACTTATTTTCATGAATTTTACGATGCGGCGTTGATTTCCGATGCGGTGTTGATTTCCATTTCTGTGTTATTAGTCAGGAGTGCTTTAATTTTAACAATGTTACAAGCGTTGTATAATATTTTGTTTCTTTCCAGCCTTCCTTATATATATATATATATAAGGAAGGCTGGTAAGAAACAAAATATTATATATATTGCACGCATCCTGAAGTTCAAAGCGTTTCGCTCTGAAACTTTCTTATCTTTACAATGTCAGGAAGCTGGACGTCGTGGATAAAGATTGTAAGGTAGATGAATCTGAGTTTTACTTAGCTAAACCTTCTCTTGTCTGTTGGTGCCGTTTGTTTGCAGCACAGTTATGTGTTTATGTTGAAAGTAAACCTTTTTTCCTCATTATTAATTGTGTTGCATTAATAGGTAATGATCCATCTCAACTGGTTGGTTAATTATCAGTTTTTCGCTAAGTCATAATGTGTTTCTTAGCTGAGTAAAATATTTTAGGCACGCTTCCTGTTGACGGTTTGACATTGTTTCTAGTCTTTCCCATTTCGCAAAACAATGGTTCAGTTTAATAATTTGGTTTCTGCCGATGGCTTAACCCAGTTGAACAACTGGCTCGAATCCAGGAGTTACATCGAAGGGTAATTTTGTTGTAGATGTGTCACGCTAAGTTGTTGCGAATCTGAATTTTGAAGGTACTCGCCTTCGACAGCTGACGCAGAAACATTTTCTCAGGTCAAAAACGCAACCGGTTTTCCGCATGTGCAGCGTTGGATTAAACATATTTCCAGTTTTCCAGAGAAGGAAAGAAACAGGTAGGTAAATGCGGCTTGTTGCGGCCGTTAATTAATTCGGTGTTTATCCACTACTCGACAAAATGACACTGAAGTTGCAGTTGCACATCTGAGCGTATGTCTCGTTTAAATTGCATAATGTATTAAGTAGACATAGTGAAGAAATGTGCAAACCCTGTGCACAAGTGTAAAATATATTTTGACTCCCCTGTATGCCTTGAACACTCGTACGTTTTGATGATGGGGCAAAAGAGGAAACGGAACCCAGGTCATTGAACAAGAACGACCAAAATTTGGAACTGTTATAA